GTGTGTGTGTGTGTGTGTGTGTGTGTGTGTGTGTGTGTGTGTGTGTGCTCAGGCTGCCACGAAGCTCCTGGATGAGATGTGCCACCTGACGGCTCAGTCTCTGACAGCGATGGACACATCGGAGCACTTCCAGGTCCTAAAGCTGCTGGGTGAAGGCTCGTATGGCAAAGTCATGTTGGCTGTACACAGGAAGAGAGGTGAGGGGGAGAAACTATTGTTCATGATACACCAATAAATAAAAGACCTCCATCAGTATCTGACCGCGTGTCCTCCAGGTACTCCGATGGCTCTGAAGTTCTTCCCTCGTGAGTCCACGTCTCTCTTCTCCTTCCTGAGGGAGTACAACCTCTCTCTCTCCTTCTGCACTCACCCGTCGCTGACCAGAGCGCTGGGAATCGCCTACTCCACGCCTTCACACTACGTCTTCGCTCAGCAAGCAAGCCTCTTTGGCGACCTTTACGACGTCATCTTGCCCGAGGTGTGGGCTTTATTTTCATGCTGTGTTCAGATGCAGGATTTCAGTAGGCTCACCCCCCCCCCCTCTACTCCCCAGGTCGGTATGGAGGAGGACTCTTGTCAGCGGGTGGTGTCCCAGCTCTGTGGCGCTCTGTCCCACCTGCACTCTCTTGGCTTCGTCCACAGAGACCTCAAACCAGAGAACGTCTTCCTGTGCGACTCCGCCTGCCGCTGGGTCAAACTGGGAGACTTTGGCATGGTCAGTACAAACCACACCGTACCGCTAAAATGTTGAATGATTTGGTCATGCCGAACATCCTCAGGGTTGCCTTTCTAAAGCTATTTTTGTTTAATTTGGCAGAAATCGGGGAATGTCGTGGGTTTCTTTGGCGGTCACAAATCCATTGTTGTCAATGTAGACGTGCGTAAGGTGTAACAATAACATAAATGAATGGAGGAGAAGTTAATGATTTAATCTTACCAATCACAATCATCAGTTCAGGACTATCCGGAGCTTACTGTCAGTCCCGAGGAATATTTGACTTGCTTCACCCTTTACCTTCTGAACGGTCAGCCAACTGTGAGGGATTTATGGTGCTGGAAATCCATTTATCTTTGTTAAGCTTAGTCAGTGAGGCTTACCGCTAAATTATTGCTTCATCATCATCATCATCGTAATTCCAACGAGCAGGTTTTGGCACGTTGGATGAATTGATGAAACAAGCCTTTTTTGTGTTTTCAGACGCTACATGTGGCCCCTAAGGCCAGAATAACAAAGACATGCAGTGACTTTGCTCAAATCGTTGAAATAAAGCAGGGGAAGACTGAGCAAAGACAGTCCATGGTTTATTAAAGAATATCCATCAATATACAGGTTCTACCTCAAGCTTCTACCTCTTTTTGTATCACATTAATTTGACTGTATTTTAGTTTTAATCACCAATCTGTCGCAGAAAAGAGACAAATGGATGAGTGTTCTCCACCAGGTGAAGGCCGTGGGCACAAGGGTGCCGGAGGTCTGGTACAGCTCTCCTTACTGCACCCCCGAGTCCGAGATCGCTCGCGGTAACGAGGACAGCTGGAGCAGCGAGGGCGATAGAAAGTGTGCCGTCAAGGAGGATGAAGAGGGGAAGAAGAAGGCGAGAGTTTGGGTGTCCGTGGAGCCCAGCACGGACAGCTGGGCGTTGGGGATCCTGACCTACGCCATGCTCACCGGCAGTCACCCCTGGGCCGAAACCGCCAGCGACTGCCGGTCGTACCTGAAGTACCGGGAGTGGTCCGACAGAGCGGAAGGCCTCGATGACGACGAACTGGACGTGTGGGCGGGGCCGCAGGGCGAGGGCGGTTTAATCGGTGCAGGACTTGCGGAAAAGGACGGGCCTCCCGTGGCGCCCCAGTTCGCGAGTTTCACCCCGCTGGCCTGCAGCTTCTTCCGGACGCTCCTCGACCCGACGCCCCGGCTCCGCAGGCGACCCGAGGTTGCGCTAAATTACCTCGGAGGGGAGTGGGTGATGGAGAAGGAGAGGGCGAGGCTGGAGGAGAAGAGGAAGAAGAGCGGAGGGAAAGGGGCGATCAGGAACATGAAAGAGAAAGAGGGGAGAGGAGAGAGATAAGGAGTCAAAATAATGAGAACATGAAAGCAACTCGTCACTTTTTACATGACAACACGTGTTTTATAAAGAATATGTGATGTTTAGCTTATTAAACCTGATTCATATTGTTTTTAGTTCAGAGTTCAGCAACATAGTCTGTTGTGCCTTTAAAAGCCATTATGGTCATAAGATCTTCTGGTTCAAGTGTCTCAAAGTTGAGAATTTGCCGCTGTTTTTGGGGGTTTTCATGACTGTAGATTGTGACAAATATTTGTAAATATATCCCTAATATTTCAACGTTAATACAAACTAGACTACTATATATCACGGTGTGAAAAGAAGCTACTCTTCAAATGGTTTGAGAGCAACTGTGTTTATTCGTGCTGTAATAAAAATGAATAGCTGTAACGCTATCATGTCCTTGTAAAAGATACCACCTTTAGTGCTCTGCGTCTATATTTGGGTTTAGACTTTTGAGCGTATTCATCACAGTAGGTTATGAACTGTATATAGACTGTTTTTATAGCCAACACGTCTGCCAGCAACTGAGAGGTGCAGTTCCAAAACACTTTGACCCAGTTCCAAGTCATAAAAAAAAGTTTCAAATGACATAAATATTTCATAAAAATAAGCCTATTCAAAGGCTCTTTCTGGAAGTAAATATTTATATGCTGCATTTATTTCTTCAGCATCGTAAACGTAGTTGGCAGCAGGCCACTTTAAGCTAACGCTAGTTTTGTGTTTTAGCTTGCTAGCCTAAGCTGCTGTAGCACTTTGTACGTAACCACAAACCGCATATTCTTTCTCTTTATCTTGTTCATTTATTACATTTAATGTATTAAATTCAATATAACCAGTTTGTGATTTCAGATAAAAAAGTCGCAATTTAAAAATCTGTCTGCTACTTCAGCACCACGGACAGCTCCATGGATTTACTCATCAATACACATCACAGTGAGAGACAGTCCTACTGAATATAACAAAAATACTGCAGCGTTATTGACACAATGTATGTTTATTTGTGTATCTACAGACATGTGTAGTCTATAAAATATATTTTAAATGCAATAAAGGTTTTGTTTTTGTAAAAAGGCTCTTTTGTGAACAGTTTGAACACAATGAATCCTCCCATGGTTTTATTGAACATCACAAAGACACATTTTTTTAAACACGTTTAAGTACCCTGACCTTGTAAATCATCACCCGGCATGCTCGTATCTCAATAATGTCCCCCTGAGATTATACACCAATGCAAATAGATCACACGCACACACACACGCACACGGAGGCACCCACATGGTGAGCACCATCTGGAGAGCTTCCCCAGATGTTTTCAAAAATAGATCCGCTGTCGTAAATTTGACACTATAACCTTTCAGCGCCATATATGTGCCGCTGAGCCTCACAGTGCAGCCAAGTCACACACTGTCTGTCCTGCAGGTACAATCAGCTGGACGCCTGCTGCAGCGGTGCAGCACACGCTGAACCACGTTGACCTCTGGTCGAGAAACATGATCAAGAACCATGAACAGAAAAACACGAGTTCAGACCGAACATAGCGTTGCTCTTTTTTTAATTTGGGGAGAAGATGATTTAGTCCTGGTGTCTCCGGCGATACAGTATGATTTGTTTACCAGAAAACATTTGATCTTTGCCTTTTTTTGTCATTTAAATTTTTACATAAATACAAAAATTTGGTTTGTCAGACAGTAAAAATAAAAAACCAGAAGAAATAAAATTAAATAAATAAATAAATCAAGAAAATATATTCATCACTTAAAGGCAGCTACAAGACCCCCGCTTCACCCCCCCCCCCCCCCGCACCCTATTAATTATCTTTCACATGCACCTCCATATACAAAACATTTGATCTTTGACTTTTTTTTGAGGAAAAGAGAGATGCTGAGGTCAAAGGGAGATGGCAGAATGTTGACCCGCTGCCCAGTCTAATAAAAACCAGAGGAGTCGTAAATATAAGCTGAGGTGAAAACAAAAACAACAACGACAAAAAGCTGCTGCACGATAAATGTATTCGTCCTGCTACCATCACCTCCACTTTAAAAATAGAACGCAGAATTATAGAAGAATTCAATAGGATTTTCTGTTTTAACTTCGTTTCAAGCTAATAAGATGTCAAATTGTATTGTTTATTTTTATGATTTTAATTATCATGGCAGAGCTAAAACAAAGTGCTGTGGCTTTAAATACAGTACATCTGAGGGGAGATGAGGTCTTGTTTACCCGATCCCTCTGAAGGCCTCACGGACAACTCATTATATATCATCAGCATATCGTGACTCCATTTTTAGTTTCTGTCATACCTTAAGTTCTGCATCAAACTCACATCGCCCACAATCGTAAAGCTAAAAATAACAAGGTTGTTTCTTTTAGTTCCTGGAAAGTTGACATGATGGAGATACAAAGCTTTCACACAGCCAGTAAAATAACAACTATATGAACACATGAACCCAATTTAAAAAGGCAGTTTCAAATATGTCTTTACGGTTTAGTCCATGCCGGTAGGACGGGACACTGAAGGATTCACGGTTATGTACTCAGACCCACTTCCCATGAGCCCCCCCGACACACAACACTCCACCTAAATCATCCCGTCAAGGTGAAGGTTCAAGCAAAAAGTGACTCTAACCTTTGACCTCTCGCTTATCTGCTTTTCCCTGCAGCCCCTAAAACATTCCAGCATCCAGTGCCAAATAATACACAATCGCTGCTGGTTAGGAGCCAACAACAAATGCTTGATATTATCAAAGTGAAGTTTGAGATAAAGAGATCATCTGTGAGTTATCTCACAAAGCATCCTGAGCCCAAACTCATGAATGAGCGAGCTTGTTAAAGGCAGACAGTTATATTACCGTATCACATTTGGGGAGCAGGTCTATATATATATATCATTTTAAACACAGTCATGAATCAATAAATGAATGCAGACATCACAAAATGCAACACGATATGACATGAGGCGATATTGTGTTATATTTGTCCGCGGTGGAATTGACAAGCGCCTACTAATAAAAGTGTGCATGATGTTGTCACATACCTGTCGGGGGGCTGTTAGTCTAACTCTTGTGCTGCCTTCAGGTGCTGCTGGAAAGATGGGAACTAAAAGCTAAATGCTCTTATTATGAAAGGTTTAAATTGTCATGTAAGTTGGCGAGAGGATTTCGTGAAGAGGTCAAGATGATGAGTGGGGCAGACTGTGGTTTTATTTGACACACGGGGCAAATCCCTAGAAATGACTTTTTACAAGTCCGCTGCAGATAGGTTTACATTTCTATGAGACTAAGACGGCTGACAGGGTTGTAGAGCACTGAAGAGGCTGAGGGTAAAGGTAATGTTAGGCTACAACCTTGTTGAATGGAAGGGGGGGGGGGATCAGGTCCTCCATTTGAGTGTGAATGTTCCGTTTAATCGTTGAACTTTGTTGTGGCGATCATGTGTTGTTTTTTAACCTAACCTGTAGAAATGATGGGCAAAACTTAAGTTGTAATGAACATGGCAGCTCATGATAGTGAATTAAAGACGTGTCTCTCTGGAACTGTTCACCACAGTGGGCTAACTGAAGCCAGAGTGCATTAACAATACTTACCTAATAATTAACTTTAAGAGTTTTCTTTGACAAACAAAAAAACGTCTTATAGTTCGTTTCGGGGTTCATCCTCTGGGGACCAAAGAATGTCTGCACCAAACTTCCCCACATGTTGAGATATTTCAATCTGGACCAAAGCGGACAGACAAACCAACCGGCACTCCCAAAGTCGTCAAATAACGATGAAGGTTCAGTGCAAACCTTCAGTGTGTGAGGCGCACCAGGCTTTCAACCAACTCCAATATAAACCTACGTTTCATTATCAGATGGTGAGAGCAACTCATGTAGTTTTGAGAGCAAGAAATTCTTAGCTGTGGTCAAACACACACAGGACTTTCATCTAGGAGACTGCTGTCCGTGTCCTGTGTGAAAGACTTATCTTTACAGTCACTTTGTTCTGCTGGCATCGTAACCACACCGGTAACCCGTCTTTGGATCTGAAGGATGCAAACGGATCTCCTGCAACAAATACATGCTGTGTTCTGACTGTGACGTAATCTCTGGCCACCTGCTCCGAATTCTTCTCATCACAACCTTGAGCCAAATAGGAAAAATGTACTCGTCTATTTATTTTATGAAGTGCTGATGTACGTAGCTTTGAAAGTGATGCTAAGATTAGCCCAAAGTCTTTGGGAGTGTTTTGGCTGTGCTTCTGTCCGTCCATCCGTCCCTTACCTAGACTAGACAGACTGAATAATGAAACACTCCATGTTATTCCTGAGTATTTCACAGTTTGTATGCTGAACCTTGAAATCACACTGATGATGGTAGATGGGATAAGTTCTCTGAAAAGGGGAAACAGAATCTTCAGCGTGGACATCGAGTGTATTAAAAGTCCTGAATGTCTGTGACGAGGATCCAAATGAATCCATGAAAATGCCACGGTGTTCTGGAGGGATGTGCCACTGGGTGTGTGTTACAGAGGAGGAATGGACCCGGATCAGAAGGGGAGCGAGGCGCTCACTCACTCACTCACACGCACACAAGCTTGAGCCCTGCAGACCTGAGGTCAGACGGTGCTGTCACACTTTGCTTACAACACCAAAAGGTTAAAATGGCCCTCAGAGTTGAAGGGAGGTGACGAGAAAATGAGAGGAAGACGAATCGAGTTCCTGATGAGGTCGCTGGTTTCCTGGTGTTGCCCCTCTTCAGTGTCCGTCCGTCCGTCCAGCTGTCTGTCGCTCTCTCTGTCCGTCAGCAGAGCTAAAAGCTACTGCTCAATGAGCTCATGTCCTGACATTACGCAATGTTTCTCACTGCGACTGTCTCGGTTTCTCACCTTACAAGCTTCTCACAGGGGGTTAAACAAGTTAAACTAAAAGAAAATCTGTGTTTTCAGACCAGAAAACAGTGTGAAAATGTTATTTAAACAGATTCAATACTTTTAAACACTAACACAGTACACGTCCTAAGATAAATATGTAAATGTAAATCTTAAAGTCTAATGTTAAGATGTAACAAACAGAACAAGCAGAAACGGTAAAATGTAGTTTTCTGTGCCAAGATAACTTTACTGAATTTAGTCAACAGCTAGTGTTTAAACTAGGATGTTCAATGTTCAGTAAGTAAGAAAAAACAATGAATACAATGTTTAGCTTGCAGTAATTAAAAACAAATAAATTTGCAAATGGAACAAGTGAAATTTTGCGGTTAATATTTCTTGAAATAAGATGCAATAATTAGGCCTTTAAGATAAAAGGAGATCTTGAAATGAGATATTGAAGCCCCTAAACCTCACTGAATTGTTACTCGTTAGGCGATATGATGAATATACTTTGTCATAGTTTTGGCCATCGTTCCTAATGACGATAATAACTCTGCTGTCTTTACATCTCACTGACTTGACACTTCTCTCTGATCCCCGTTACGTCACTCTGTTGTTTTAAACTTATCGTCTCTCTCGACCTTCAGACGGAGTCACTCGGCCCTCATGCAGCTGTGCCGTGTTTGTAATAACCTGCAAGCGACTCGTAACTCAAAAGCAGAGCAGACATGTATAATATCATTAAATAGCCTTTATGTTCTGCAGGATAATGGGTTTTGTAAGAGGTTCACCACACCAGAGCTTTGGCACGATGCTACAGGATTGTTACAAAGAAGAGAAATAATGCTGATGATACATGAAGGAAATAGCACGTCTCATAAACAGTCTGATATAATATGAATCACTGATCCAACTGTGTAGTTGAGCTGCTTGAGTGCTCCACAATAACAATAATAATAAGACATCACACGTCCTTTGAAAGGATTTATTGCCTCTTTCTCATTAAATTGGTCATAAATCAAAAGTGTTAGTCCAGTGATTTTACAGCCAGAGTGGAATGAGTGAGAAATGGGAGACATTTCTTTTTATACATTTCAGCCAGCGATGCGAGCGATGTAAACACAACACACATGTCACCATCCATCATCGATCATCTCAATGCCAGCCAAGTCACACAGCTCCTGTGATCTGATCACAGCACACCTTAAAACAAACTAAATGAATTCACAGGCGAGTAATGCTCGTAACATTTCACACGTCAAAGTCCTGTGAAGCCTTTTCTGCACAACTACTAACAAATCATTTGCTGCCATTAAGACATTCATCATCAGATGAAGAAAGACAATCATTTCATTTTTCCCGCCCTCGAGTCCCGAGACCGCTGTGTTCACATCTGTAACCGTGCACATGGTTTCAGTAAAAGAGCTTATTTTTCCATTTAATTTCACAATCAGTGAAATAAGCCACATCAGGTCGGTCCATTCACTGAGAGTAGTCTAACATGTTAAAGGAATAGTTCCACTCTTCTGACGACGTGTTCATTCGTGAGACTTTGTTTTGTTCCTTTAGGACAGAGCCAGGCTAGCCGTTTCCCCCCGTTTCCAGTGTTTATGCTAAGCTAAGCTACGCTACCTGGCTCCAGCTTCACATTAAATGCATAAAGACTAATATCAATAATCTCTTCCATTTCTCAGCAAAAGAAAAAAGCAAAAGTATTCCCCAAAATGTCAAACTACTCCTTTAATTCCAAATATTTTCCTCAGATTGTCTAAATCTGCTGTTTCAGACTCGTGTTGAACACGATTTACTTGTTCAACTCCTGAACCGTTCATCCAGATCTGTCCTTCCTTCCATGAAACATTCAGTATTTAGTGCTGAAGGCTGCCTCAACATTTTGCCATTAAAAACAAAACTAAAAAAAGCTTCATGGTCATTTCACAAACAAGAAAAAGCGGTTAAATGAATGTGCACTCAATCACACTCCACTTCCACTCTCTCTTTAACAGAAAGATGTAAATCTGGTGGACAAAATTACATATTTAATGCAAAAAGTGGAGCTGTAACGCATCTCCACATCACATCTTTCCTCTGATATCAGAAAGGAGAACTGGTCTTCAAGGCTCAATATGACTTTGTGACGACTAGTCCGACATTCCTGCTCTGTTTTACCTCATTTATTATATCCAACTGGATTTTCATTATTTTAAAAGGGCACGTTTATTAGAATGAGGTGAAAGAAATTTGATTGGTATTTAAGTAGATTTAATTAACTGCCAGCAGACGAGCATCCGTCGCTAAACTGGGCATAATGTTTAATTCTTAGCTTATTCTTCTTTGTAAAAAATGCAGTGAAAGTATGTAAAAATGCAAATTATTGACATTAATGATGACAACTGATGCCACCCAGTAGTAAACACAAATATGATTTCACATTGTAAATATTAAATTTATAGATTTAATACGGCAGACATGAATGTGCCCGTATATATACATTTCTATGAACATAACTTAAAAACAATACTGTGCAATGGATCATTTCTGGTTCCTGATAGAAGGCATGGTGTAGGCGCGTCTGCATTCATTTGAAATCAATTTCATATCCCATAATGCAGCTAATCTAAACATGTTGAAGTTGCATCTTTGAATCCATTTGCATCATCATTCATTTTAGTCATTTTGAGACATGTGGACAAGGCCATACTCCACCACTCACCGTGAAGAAGGGAGTCATTAAACCCCTGTTCAGTCTAAAAATACTATTTTATAAGTGTTAAATCAAACTGTTCTTTCTTTATGATTTATACTTAAATAACTTAGACTGCTGCTGTCATTTCAAAATGATTCAGGGAAGTTATGATTCATTAGAAATAATAAGGCTGATGCACATAAATTAGATTTAAGAGCAATAAAGAAACTGTCTTACAGTTAAAGTAGCCTTTCACGTCCGCTGAGCTTTGCAGCTCTCTGCACATTATTCACAGCCGGTTACACTTTTTGTCGAGATGCAGCACTCTGCAGTTCCTGCAGGGGGAGCTGTTGCAGTTAGAAAAAACATAAAGCTCTGAACAGAGCGGCATCTACTGGGGAGGCGATGCAGCCACATTAAAGAGGAACAAACCTGCTGCTCAGGACGTCACACATAGCCCTTGAATATCTTTTTTGGGTGGAAATGGCTTTTATCAGGTAATGGCTTTAAAACTGATTAATGTGTCATTTCCCATTCGAAAGAAACCCGGGATTCTTTCTGGATGAAATATTGTTTCTACAGCTCTGTGGAGTTTCACGCTTTGGGATCAGTGTGTGTGTGTGTGTGTGTGTGTGTGTGTGTGTGTGTGTGTGTGTGTGTGCACAGGAAGCTACAGACACAGATGCAGGTGAGATGGAGATCACAACCGACGCGACAGCCGGCGACTCAAAACTGGATCCAGTGTCCGGCGTCCTGCGGTGGTGACGGTGGTGGAATGGAGCTGGAGACACATAAACTGATGTTAGCTTTTCTTTTTATGTATTCAGATAATCACTTATTAAAAAGGACAATACCAGTGTTTTGCATGTTATGCATGTCTTTCTGCAACTAAAAATAAAGAACTATAAACATGCCAATTTAAACTCAAATTTGTATGATGTGTAAATTGCACAAAATGTATGTAAACAATATTTACATTATATGAATAAAAGTATATTGACATACATTATACTGCTTAGAAACTCAACATGAGTCACATCTTCCCCATTCTTTAAACAATTGCATTAGAGTTCTGTTAACGGTAATATTTTAATTTAAATAAACGTCTGGTGAGTCACTATTCATCACCTCTGGCTCTCTGACGAAAGCCCTTACATTTGCAGTGAAGTAAAAAAAACACCTGCAATTACTCCTCATCACCACAGGTGCCGCCAAAAACAACAAAACTGAGTTCTTTAAAATTGTGACTTGATTAATACGACAATACGATCGCTTTATTTGGACCAATACAGTTATTAACCAATTTATGTTCATTTGATTTGTTTAGCTGTAGTTTAAAAAGAACTTTATGTGGTGTGGACAAATGTGACGAGTCCTGACCTCGACCCCCATCCAACACCTTTAAGATGAAGGTCTTATCTCCCAAAAACAGGTTCCCCATCAATAAATAACAGAGTTACATGTGGCTGTCCACATACTTTTGGCACGCACAGTGTACATTACAAAAAATGACCTTGAAAGAGCGGAGAAGTCTCCCCAAAGATCTGAACCAGGGTTTGACTGAACCACTGTGTTCGAGTTGCTACTGTCGAGCTCCAACAGGCAGCCTGACAGAGATACAGGGAGACACACAACAAAAGTCATTAAAAAAGCAGCTGACACACATTTCACTTCATTTTCCTGCCGCCTGAAGCTCATTCAACAAGAAACTAATCACCACTGTGATTAAGAAAACAGGTCAGTCCCGTCGGTTAAAGCTGCACAGAGATCGTCGGAATTTCACTCACTACAAAGACGCTAACCTACCTGTTGTCATGTCCCCCGTCTGGGGGACTATGTTGTGATTGGATGAGCCTGACAGAGGAGGCGGGGCTATCTTGCCTCCTGGTGGTGGTGGGAGGAGTCCAAACCCACTTGAGCCTTGTGGGCGGGGCTTATCCCTCTTTTTACCTTGCTAGATGCCGAGACAAAGAAAAATGACAGCTCAGATTTTCAAGAAGTTTAGGAATGTTTACATTTTTAATGCCAGTTTCTCAGCATGACTGTTAACACTTTTTACACTATTTCCTTGTGTTTGATCCCATGTTTTTGTTAAATGTTGCTTGATTTTTAAGAGCCATGTGATGTAAAGTTGCCACCAAAATAGAAATTATGATTTGACTGATTTGTGAATTACAGATGGTCCTCAAAGCTTTTCATCTCGAGTTACACTGGAGCTCCAGTTTTTGTTTTATAGGCAGCATTAAGTCATTTCTGATTTGTTTCGACTACTTTCAGGCTAATTTAACTATAAAACCACCGACTAAAAGACTGTTACTTTCTACACTTACCAACAGTGAAGTTTTGAAGCTGTGGTAACAGCTGGACATTTTGAGGCTCTTACCCCTATGTTGAGTGTGATGGTCTGTCCCTCTTTGAAGCCCAAGTCCAGTTTAGGTCCCGAATCCCCGAGCTGGGCACTTTTACTGAATTCATGCTCCTGTTTCACCCATCTGCAGAGACGCACACGAACAAAACCATCAGCACAGATACACAAATAAACAAAGTATCTCAGCAGTTTCCAGAAAAAAACCACAGCGTGCAGCTTTCCACAAGTGAAGAGCTATACATCTCAAAGACAAGCGTCTCGTTTGGGAGTGGACTGCATATGCTGCAGAGGGTTTTGGGACAGTAGGAAATATAACAATATAACAATACAAGTCTAATTATGAGTCATTGCTGTGAATGTACATGCTTCCAACCAAACTCGAAGTTTGAAAAGTGTGAGAGTAATCCCATTACTTTCATCTCCAGGAGAAGACGTGAGTCACTGCTTACTTGAAGTGGTCCTGCAGAGACACGTTGAAATCAAAAGCGTCCCCACGGTCCCCGAAGCCGACTCCTATAAAAGCGCTGCGACCTGCGGACGAGAGATGATGTTTTAGTAACCGACATGACCGAAAAAAGGAGACTTCAAACATGGCCGGCTTCGTGATCATTTTTTTAATAACCACCTCACCGTTGTCATCCTGTATCCGCAGAACGAAGTATCGGCTGGAGTCACTGACCGTCTCCATGGCAGTGCCGGGATACTCCTTAATGGGTGCCTGGGCAAACAGCTCCCCTGCAGGACACGAGGGGAAACGACAAGAGATGAAATAGAGAACAATGTGTCAGGACCACGGACTGTATATAAGAAGTAAACGTAGTCATCGTGAGGTCACACATTGGTTTGGTTCGCAACTAATGAACAGAAGTGACCATATTTAGAATGTGGAGTGACGTGGCAGTATACGGCTGCGGTAGAGACCTGTCAGTCACAGTAAGCCCCGCCCTAAAGCATCCCCTGCTTTATGGTCTGTTTGACTCTAAATGGACCATAATTTACTAAATAAACTCATGTTTACAATGTTTACTGAGGTAATAAATCAAGAGAGAAGTAGTCATTTTCTCATAGACTTCTATACAACCAGAGGAGTCGCCCCCTGGTGGTCACTAGAGAGAATGCAGCTTTAAGACACTTCCGCACTGGCTTCACTCAGGAGAACCGGAGGTCGTGTCACTTAATGAAAAATGTTAAAGTCTAACACACAAGGAAGTCCCACCTGAGACCTTGTCCTCCAGTTTGACGTACGCCACTGGTCCCTTGGCTGTGATCCTCATTCGACCCGACCAGTCTGGAGTATCCAGCTTCCAGTCAGCTGCCCTGTAGACAAACAAGATGTTTGTGTGGTATATTAACAGTAAATGGCATTATTATTGATATATTATATTAACTATACAACTAACTGTTTCACAAAGAAAATGTCAATTTTTATTTACAATGGAAACCTAAAATAACTAATAATTACGGCATTTAGCATAATACCTCCGTGATGACAGTATGTGAAAATCTGTGATATAATCTTAGATTTGTATCGCTGTGAATGACACAAATATATCTTTCATCTTTTCAGGTATTAATTCATGTTTTACCCAAAGAGATCTTCAATGACACCAGTGAAATAAATGAAGTCATCTCTACTTGTGATGCCACAGAACAGGTTATCGCTTTGACATGAGTTATGAGCAGTTGAAGCGAATATTTTTGTTTAATTTTAAATACTTTTAGAGGTATAGAGAGGTGAAAGTATCCAGTATTTTTACTTGTTTTAGGGACCTGAAGAAGAGGTGAAAGTAACAAAAGAAAAAGTTGTTTTTCTTAACCTCTCTCATCCCTTTAATCATCTTGTGTACCTTCAGAATGTTCTTGGAATAAACCACCTTAAAATGTTTTTAACATACATAGTTATTTATAGGCTTTGGTATATGAATATAAAAAGGTGGATAAACATTCATATACCTCCCTTTCTAATTCCCACACTCTCATAATGCAGCCCTCTCTATCAGATAAGGCTGCTGGTGCACATATGGATCAATATGTTTATTTTATGATCTCTCCATGCATGTGTAACCCATACAGATTGAATATATAATGACAATCTCAATCAAACACTAGCCACACAGAAAACCCTGAAAATGTGTTTTTGGTCTCAATTCAATGGTGTCAGTGTGTGAAGAGGATCCCGGGCTGTCACACAGGAGTGGGACTGTCCTGGCACGATGACAAACGGCCCCGTCACATCTCTGACAGCTCAACCGCTCTGAACAACAAAGCGACACACAGAGAACCAGCGATTCAAACCGTAAAATAATATATTTTAAACTGGACATTTTTTTATTTCCACTCTTTCAACCGCCCCCCCTCCCTATTCGTGATTTGTAAGCATGCTCTGGCTCTCAGTGAAAGTGAAATGCCCGCACCGAGCGACACCAAACACCGTTAAAGCCATATTACAAAGCGCCGTCAACGACCCGGCGGTTATTCCTTTACCTGTATGCGCGATTTGACGCTCGCGGCGGGATGCGATAAACGTTGACATCGGGTTTTACGCACAGGATCGACTCGTACTCGCCCTCGGCCGCCATCTTGATTCAACTGTTATTGATGTGGGAGTAGTGGTTGTGACTCATTTATTCTCTTCTTTTCTGAGAGGGGGGTTGTGTGTGTGTGTGTGTGTGGTCTGCGTCCAAACCGTCAGAACGCCGTCAGTTGAAGCATACCCCACTAACCAAAATGCATCTGAAATGTTATTAAACGTAACGATACTCTCATGAAATTCCTTCAAATTGTAATTTTATAGGAAAACTAAATAATTTCCTGCTAATTTATTTTTCAGTTGTATTATAAAAGACGCAAAACTGGTGGACAGACATGTATATTTAATTGAGAATATAAATAATAAGTTAAAAAAAAAAGCACATCGTGAGGGGGCGTGGACTAGCAGGTGGTGCTGAAAACTGCGGAAGCGGAAATCGTCGTCGTGTCCAGGATTCTTCGAGGAGATCTGCTCAGGGTTAGTCCTTTATTTGTAATGCAAATACGCATATTTGACACACGAAATAACGTGCTGCGAGTTTCTGTTCTTGTTCAACTCTGACAACAGCGACTGCTTCTGCAACAACCTTTTGATTAGATGGCAAAAAGTCGTGATATTTAAGCTTATACTCCAGCTGGCTCGATAACTACGTACGACCGTATTTACGGCTGCTGCTCGTCTTCAGTCGCTGTCCGAGGTCCTGAAAACAATCCTCACAGATACGTTACTCGCAAGCACGTCGACTCACAGTTGATTGGGGATCAGGCGGATCATCCATGGTGTAATAGTAATAATAATCTCTATGCATGAGGTTGTGAGCTTGTATTTTCTCACACCGGCCACAGGAGGCTAGCAGCTAACTAGCTTGTAGCTTAGCCAGACGGCTAACCGAGGTGAGGATCTGTTTGTCGCAGTGATTATGACAAACTACCACGAGCTGCCATGTACAGCAGGTGTAGGCACACCTTTTAGAATAGCTTTTTCAGTCATGCATTCATAATTGTAAGCTTGCCACTCAATGCCTCAGCTCTTTTGTTTTAATGTTGACTGGTTCCTCTCTGCAGCTGTACGATCTGGTTTCTGAGCATCCGGAGACAAGTCAATGCAGTCAGAGAGAAGATAAGAGCAGCAGGATGTTCACTCACTGAGCCAGCACTGAAGAAACATACAAAAATACATCTTTGACAGCACAGGCGTTATAAAAGGTAGAGTGGTTTGTGTGTTTTTTATTTGTACTCGTGTATGTGTGTGTGGACCCTTCTTGTGTAAGTATGCAACATTGTTCACAAGTTTTCTCTGAATCAGATCCCTCCTCCCCCCCCTTAGACACCATGACGTCCTCTATGCTCCGCCGACAGCTGAAGAACCTGGTCCAGAACTACTCTGAGGCCGAGGTCAAGGTAAACAAATGAAGCTGGTGAAGAACTACGTGAACCCCAATACCCCCACTATGTCAGCTAAATGTGCCCGGTAGCAGGAAATAAAATGCATTCTCATTGGATGTTTTAAGTCTAGTTTAAGATGCATTGTTTTGGAACATTTTTGCTTTAATTAGATATGGTGATGAAATGCACCTTAAATCTGTAGGCCACTAGCACACCTACAAGATGACATTAAAAATCACTATATGTGGCATTTAAATACACTTCTGTGGCCTGGAACACTTGTCGTCTGTACAACATGAGTTTGAAAGGATGCACCCACCAAAGGGTCAGTTGAGTTGAAAGTTAGAGGTGCAAGATCAATAAAACAAGCCATACATTTAAAGTTCTACAGCAGTAAACTCTCACTGTTCTCTTAAATCACAGTGAGCCATTCTCTTGTATCCTAACCTTCAGGTTTTAGGAATCAGGGAAATGTGGGGGTATCCTTCTTTCTTCATTATGCTGATTTGATGAAACATGATCCGTAATAACCTGCCAGAACAGATTACTTACCCTTTTTATAAGCATAAATAATTGAGGTGATGTAAAAGATGAGTTGCTACATTGTAATCACGATTTCTACGGCGACTGTGAGCCTTTTTCTCACAAGCTGGCATCTGTGACCTTCTGACTACCGCCGCCTTATATTTCCTGACGTCTCTGGCTTTGCTTCTTCTGCAGGTGAGAGAGGCGACGTCTAATGATCCGTGGGGCCCGTCCAGCTCTCAGATGGCCGACCTCTCCGATCTGACCTACAACGTGGTGGCCTGCAATGAGATCATGACGATGCTCTGGAAGCGCCTGAAAGACGACAAGAACTGGAGACACATCCACAAGGTATCAGAACAAGAACAGAACAGAACAAATTCCCCTCAAAACAGGCATTGTTGTGGATGTTATGATAACAATTCATTTAAGGCAAATAAGGTCACCCAAAGATTCATCTGTAGTTCTTCTTTTGAAACATGATCAACATTTCTCTGACAATAATTAATTTCAGTTCCGTTTAAATACAGCTTATAAGAACCATCATAAGACATAATAGAAATATGTTAGATGGGATACCCTGATAAGCTATCTGAAGCTTGAGAATAGGGGCTCAGACAATATTTAGAATATATGTTTACTAACTTATTGTCTAGATTTGAAAAAGTGCTTTTTTTATATAGTTACATTCACAACCTACCACATACCAAAGACTAACCATAAATTACAAAGTCATGATATTTTCTTATTACCGAGCATTTTATACACTGACTCCTTTTGATTTAGACTTAAATGTTAGAATAATTGTGTGTATTACATTCAGAGTGACTTCTTAAAACTTCTTAAAATCTTAAGATTAAAATATTTAAAGCGTAGCGGTTTTTTACTGTTGTAGCTCTAATGAAATGTATTGCCATTTATTGAAAGCACTCTGGGTTTGATCACAAAACATGATTTATTAATCTGGTCTTTAGAAACGGTGTAAACTGCACCACATATATGATTTTACACAGATTTTGTTGACAGTTTATTTTTGTTTCAGTCATATACATCTTTGTTTCACATAAAAATGTGCTCATTGTCATGCTTCTTTTTTTTCATACCAGTCCCTGACACTGCTGGAGTACCTGTTAAAGACCGGCGACGATCGTGTGCTTCTGAAAATGAAAGACAGCATCTACATCGTCAAAGCCCTCACAGAGTATCGCTTTGTAGAAAAGGATGGCAAGGATCAGGTGATACTTTTGGTATCCATTTAAAGGTTGAATGCTGTACATTAACATTGTCCATTATTGCCACTATAATATCTATATCATCATACTCCTTTTAACCTCCAGGCCAAGTTCAGAATTAAAGAAAATATGGTGTCTCACACATTTGTAAGAATCCCTTGATTTAAAAGTTTTCCAGAAGACATTGCTTGACACTTTTGGGTTTACAAAACTTGTAATATTTGGGGTTTGTTTTTCAGGCTTAGATAGAGTATTGCTCCAGTGAGGTGTCAATCAAAGTCTAATTTAAGCATATCTGTCCCAGGGTGGAACTGTGAGAGAGAAGGCCAAAGTTGTCCTTGTTCTCATGGAGGACGATGATAAACTGAAAGAGGAGAGAGACTTTGCCGTCAAGACCAGAGAGAAGACTTCAAAAAATGCTGCTGGTGAGCCCTTCTGCCCTAAACTATGATTGGCTAAATGCCAATTGTTTAAACCGTTGTAGTATAATTCACTTAATGTGTCTGTGTCTCTCATTAAAATCTCTTTTCCATTCCTTTTAACAAGCCTCATCTGCTGACGCCATCAAGGATCCCAGCTACAAGCCATGCTACGTTGGCGGGGCCGCAGGGCTTCCATCCTTAGACAACATACCGTCAGTGGCCGACTTGACCGCTTCCTTCGCTGCCCGCAAAGAGGAGCGTCTAAAGCAGGAAGTTGAGAAGAAAGAAGGGGAGAGGAGGGTAAGTGCAAGTACAAAGCTCATCTACGGCAAGTGGACACAAAAGCACAAATACTACACCACTGCAGTGTAATGCAGTCGAGTACAGGAACACTGCAAACCATATCCTCAAAAATAAGCATAGTTATATCAACATGTTTTTAAAGTCTCAACAAACCCAATGTTCCATGCACCATGCCAGTTTTTGGAGGCAAAATTTCAGTCAAAGAATGGATCATTTGAAATGAGATTACAGACCGGTTCACAATACCAATTGCAATCGATTACTCACCTTAAACAAACAGTTAGATCTATGTGTCAACAGGACAAGTTCAGTAACACCACTAATGAAGCCATTTGTAAGCGTTTGTGTTTACCTCTCTAACTGTAATATCCTAGGCCAAGTTGAGTGAAGACGAGCTGAAATGGGAGGATGCAGGAAAAGGCAATGATGATAAAGGAGGTGCTTGGGGAGGGGAGAAAGCAGAGGAGGAGGAAGAGGAGAAGGAGAAACCAGAGGCATGGGGAGCCCCGAAAGAACCTAAAGAAGCCGCAGGTCCATGGGGCGCACCCTCAAAGCCTGACACAACTGACGCACCCGCCAGCGGTGATCCTTGGGGGGCTCCAACTAAAGCTGATGAGGATCCATTTTCAGCACCAAAAACTGATGAAGATTCATTTGCTGCACAAAAGAATGGAGAAGATCCTTTTGCAGCTCCAAAAGATGAACCCGATCCATTTACTGCATCAAAAGGTGACCCGTTCAACGCACCAAAAGATGGTTCAGACCCCTTCAATGCACCCAAAGACAAGGAATATCCATTTGCTGCTCCAAAAGATAAACCAGATCCCTTCAATTCGTCTAACAATGATCCATTCAACGCCCCCAAAGACGATCCATTCAAAGCCCCCAAAGACGATCCATTCAAAGCCCCCAAAGACGATCCATTCCACTCCCCGAAAGACGATCCATTTAACGCCCCCAAAGACGATCTATTTAACGCCCCCAAAGACGATCCATTCAACTCCCCGAAAGATGATCCATTCAACTCCCTGAAAGATGTTCCATTCAATGCCCCAAAAGATGATCCATTCAACTCCCCCAAAGATGTTCCATTCAATGCCCCAAAAGATGATCCATTCAACTCCCCCAAAGATGATCCATTCAATGCCCCAAAAGATGATCCATTCAAGGCTCTAAAGGATGATCCTTTTAATGCCCCGAAAGATGATCCCTTTACTGCACCAGCATCAACACCCCCTAAAGAAGACCCATTTGCAGCACTAGCATCATCTAAAGATGACTCCTTCACTGCTGCAACACCACCACCCAAAGAGGATCCTTTCTCTGCATCATTCAAACCCACAAAAGAGGACCCCTTTGCTGCACCAACAACACCCCCTAAAGAGGACCCATTTACAGTGCCATCCAGTCCACCAAAAGATGATGCCTCCGATCCCTTCAATGCCCCTCCAGTGAGCTCGCCTCAAGGCAGTGCAGATGCGTGGGGAGCCCCTGCTAGCTCTCCGCCCACTGACGGGGCAGATCCCTGGGGGGCGCCGTCTGCTCAAGAGGAAACAAAGGGCGGAGATCTCTGGGGGGACGGGACAAGCGCCTTCTCACCTGTTGATAATTCTGATGCATTTGGAGATTCATCCAAACTGGACAATGACCCATGGGGAGCTCCAGGTAAGAAACTAACAAATAGATGCTCCTAACCTTGAGGTTAACTTAATATTTCTTTCAAGAGCTTGCATCCATATCCCATCGCCCTCTTTAAGAAATAAAACTTTCTCAGGTGTCATCAGAACTTCGATCATGAATAACAAGTGGTCATATATTGTGTGAGTTCCAACCCCTGTGCCACCAGAATCATCCCAGTGGGACTTTATTACCTGGTTTAGATTAGATTAGATAGGTCTAATTTATTTTATCTGTACGTTATTGTTTTGTCCTGTTGGAACCTTTCTTCTCTATTTCCCTGTTAAGCTGCAGCTCCAGTCAGCACAGATGATGCGTGGGGTTCACCTGCTCCACCCTCAGACTCCTCCCCGGCTAGTGACCCCTTTGGCGACGGAGCATCTAAAACAGGTGATCCTTGGGGTGCGCCGAGCAACGCATCGAGCAATGGGACAGGTAAATCACACTTCACACTCTGTCTAAAGGCTTCTTAATGTGATCCATCCATTATACATGGGAATAAAACCTCATTGTCTGCTTGGTACTCAGCAATAAAATCTTCCCTCTGCAGAGTTTGTAAAAATGTATGCTTGTTTTTAATCCAGAGAAGACTATGCCAGCTGGCTTAGTGCTCGGTAGAGAACGGTGACTCTAACAACCTAACTGTCTCTGTGCCTGAATCAGATTTTATGTCAACGTTTTCTTCCATTTTCTCCATTTCACCCCCATCTTCCCATCGGTAAGCAGCTGCGACTAACAATCATAATCAATTAAACTTCTCTTCCGCTTTGCTCTCTCTTCCTCCCTGACCTGTCCCACAAAAGAAAACACCTTTTAGAGTAGAATTGGACCTTTATTGTATTGCAGGGAAGCGAACCGCGCAGGAGGAGAAGGCGTACAGAAAGACTGCTTCGTTTCTGGGCTCTGCGGGCGCGTCACTCGTCGACTTGGACGATCTATTTTCTTCTAATCCCGAACCCAAACAGCGCTCCCTCCCCAACACGCTCGTCACCCAGACACAAGCCATCGGTAAGGACGGAGAAAATGCTTCACTCTGGGTGACGAACACCATTTTTGACAAAAGGCTTCTCGTGTGGGATCATTTGTGGTGCGCTTGATTTAAATGGATGCATGATCAACTTCAAAGACTGGAAAATCACAGAGATACTTAACAATCTGTAAATCGCTGGTGATGATGATTCAAATGTATTCCACTACTGTTTAGCTGAAGTCGAGAGAGAGAGAGAGAGAGAGAGAGAGAGAGAGAGAGAGA